TTTAACGGTAGGAAATTTTGAGGAAAACAATTAAATTGTTCTCCTTTAACTCTACCATCAGTTTTTCCGTGCTGTTCTATTTACACAGGTCTTTATATAAATATACATTTCTACATCACATTCAACCAATTTCAAAGACATTTATATAATCAAGAAAGATTTGTACAACCTAAGATAGGAGCAAAGACTGCAATCTCTACTTTAAAACCAATGAACCATGAAACCACATTTCTATCTCTAAAATCATGCAAGATTCCCTGTTCACGCATTCCCTCCAAAAAAAAAAAAAAAGCTAGAAAATATGTTAAACGTTCCAACAAGTTCATTTACTCATGGTGATTATGTTCTTAGTAGTACAATATCCGGGAAATCAGGTTGGTCCTGTTAGTACTAGCATATGCTCCTGTCACACCCACACGCTCTATCCCTCCAGTCTTCATTGTAGGGTGGAGCATCACAGGAGACAACACAACCTTACCACCTGCCTATCCCCATCCCTGTCTCACAATCCTGTGAGTTTTATTAAAATAAGCACACCAGCACTCTAACAAATGTTTATTAAAATATATGGAACTGTGGTACCAGAGTCAGCACATACATGTTTCACAGCTCTCTCTAGACATTAAGCACACACAACAGTCTCAGAATCTGCTGATACTTGGAAAAACTCTGGCTTCCCTAGCCTAGCTGTTTCTCCAAAACAGTATCTCATGCCTGCAACTCAAGTCCACAACCAGGGGCAGACAGACAGCACAAGGAGCAAGTACTAATATTCAGCTGAACTATATGCCAGTGAAATGAAATGTCACCTCATTTTCTAAATGCAAACTCCCTATCAACCATAAATTGATTTGTAAACCTGTGGGTTACCTAGATGTTTTTTCCTAATACTTGTGCCTCATAGTCATTTCATAATTAGCCTTCTACAAGTACATGCAACAAGAGAGCATACAGTTCTCATATGAAGGTCTTAGTGTTATAACAGCTCTGGAAAGGTCTGGTTGGGAAAGGAATGAAAACTTAATGAAAATAAGGTTCTGGTTTTCAGCCTCACATGAGCTCTCTTCCACATCAACATGGATAATCTATAAATTGGCTAAATTCTGATAACCTAATTTTTGGATGTCACACAGACATTAAACTCCCTTGGGAATAGAGGAACTCTAAATTGCCATCTACTCGTTAGTTTTAATCCTCATAGGACTAAATACTGTACAACAATATGTAACTACTAATAATTATTCTCATCACCCAAAAAAATTTTTTGATCTGAAAAAGTTTTATATGAGGAAATAAGTGATACTTGACTTTTTTCTTCTTTCCACATCTTTTATTTAAGCTTAGGCGATTAGCTAAATTTTCACAAATAGTATGCAAGAAGGACTTATTAATAATATTTTAACCAAAATCACCATAGACAGACCCTTACTTTCTCTATTTTGAGTATAATATCACGTGATTCTACAGAAAGAACTATACAGCTATTAACATGTATTTAATAACATTTGACTCTGGATGTGAACAAAAAAGAAATGTTGGCTTCACTATGGTAAATAAAAAGAAATAGTTCAAATATACTGATTTAAACTTGGGATGAATGCTTAACTCAACAAAAAGGCAAAAACTACTTTAGTTATAAAGCCAATTTTTAATTTCAGCTAGAGCCTTCCTAACCAAGTGAAGTCTGCTATTATTATTACCATTATTTTAAATGCAAAGTTTACCTGAGAATAATCGTATTTAAGAAAAATAAGTTTTAAGTTGTACCAAAGACTAAGAACTATGTAAAATAGCTGAAATTTTTAAGTCACAGTTTAGGTCACAGCAAAAAAATATTTCCATTGTTTTCAAACAAATTACTGTGGAACTATTATAACTAGGTTTCAAGTGTGAGGATTTTTAATCTACATAAAAAATTATTTTCTTTTTTAGGATTTTAATGGAAAACATTTAAACAAAATACTCCCAAAAATAATTTCAACATTTTTAAGTGCAGAAAAATTAGAAACTGTGCAATTTTAACAGGCTGGAAAGTTAAATATCATTGCCAGTAACCAAATGCTGTCTGCTGAATTTCAAGGGAACCTATTGTATATTAAATTTTTAAAAAGTGAACTCATCCACCCTCTCATCTCAGCACTTTCTCAACTTTCCCATTACAATCAACAATATAACTTGGCGGTCAAGTCTTCCAGACCAATAACATCAGAATTTATTTTTAACTCCTGACTCCTTCCCAAATATTCCCCTTCAATCTAGTCCAAAATCCTGCCAGTTCTTCATTCACACTGTTCTCTCAAATGTGTTCTTTTCATCCCATTTTCACATTTACTTTATATTCCTTCATGATTTACAACATACCTACTACCTCCCTAAAAGGGCTCTAATGTTTCTACTCTAATCCATCGGCTCAGGTGCCCAAATCATCTTTAAATATCTTGGTTCAGCAATCTATGACGAATTCCAGTCTCTGCTGAATCCCAACCAAACTCTTTCAAGCCTCCTCAACCTTCCATCAGTTAATGTTAACACATTTCTCAAATTCCATCTCTCCTTACTGGTCCAATTTAAGCCCTTTAATTCAGATTTACCAACTTGCTTAATAAATACAAAAACCATTTTATTTACCTGTCATCCAAAAATCACCATCTCTGTGCCTCTGTCCATTCCTTCCATCTAGAATCCTTTATCACTTGAAGTTATTGCCTCCTTTAACACCTGTCTTAAGAAGACACACCTCTAACAGTAAGTCTTCCCTCTCCAACGCATCTGCCTCACCTCTTTATTCTTTGTCCTTCTGAACAAAGCATTCTATTTGTACTTATAATCTTACAGACACCACAGTATTGTTTTTATATTCTGTACCATAACCTGCCTCTACAACTAAATCAAAAGCTTTTGAGGCCAAGGTCTACAATTGATCATGTATCTCTCTTTTAAACAGGGTCACTTAGAATACTAGCACTGTAACAAATGTTTAAAGTTTCCTCTTTCTTCTTAAATGTCCTTAAAGTCAAAGTTGTCAAAAAAAAAAAAATTACCACTGAACTCTAACTTTTTAAATGTTAAGTTAAACATTTTAACCTACACACTTCATGAGAGTTACCCCACCAGTCAACATCCATACTATCAAGAATTAAGGAGTCATTTTCAAAAAAATCCTGGAAACAAAATGTAAAGTCCAAAATTTTAACATTATAAGTTATTTCATTTTGCTCTCTAAAATAGATCTAATAAATTAATTACCTAAAATTGATTTCAAGTGGTTTTTAAATTATATTACCAAGCTGGAAAGCAAACACTCCAGTACCACAAGAGGCTCTTAAGTAGCTATTATAAGATTTGCTTCATCATAGCTGAAAATTACCCCAGAATTTTAAAATCTTCCTTTCAAATGACTCCGTAAAGTGCTTAGAAAGCTTGACCCTTGTCTGAAAGATGCATCATCAGCTTCCCTCTTCACATACCCTTCATTCTGTACTAGTTAATCACCAAAAAAAAAAAATTAACTTTTAAAAATAATCTCCCTTTCAGCTATTACCTTAAACTATCCTGTTCCAGGCAAGTTCCAAAAGCCAACATGAATTTAAATCCTGAGTTCAATTAAAATCATTTTATGTTGCTTAAGGATACAATTGACTTCACATAACAGCTTATACTTTTTTTTAATCTCAGTTCTTCAATTCTCTCCTATGCAACAAAATAGTTTTTCTTTGCCCTTATGATGCCCCTTTCTCGAGGAATAAGAAAATAGTTACTTTTGTCAAATTCTGGAAGTATGTTTAAATTAGCTGGCATTAAATAACACATAAAAATTATCCAAAATAGATACATTGGAACATTGGATACTTAGTATACCAAACACCTCAAGAACACAGACTTTATGGCACAAATTTGGGACAAAAGTACAGACTAGCAACAACCCTGAACACAGCCCAAATATCCCTATTATATTCAGGACCACAGCCTTCGGCAAAAACTATGACAGAAAGGTCTAAATCCATATTCTCATAACTAAATTCATAATTTTATCTAAATGTGACAGGAAACCAATGCCAGAGTATTTTAAATACTCCTAAGAAGGTACCCCTGAACTCTAGATCATTTAACAAGTACTGAATGTAACAGCACCCCAAAATTGAACTTAAGTGATAAATCGGTAACAATTAACATTCAGTTTAGTACTTGGCAACATGACAATACAAACCTCAATCAAAACTTGAACCTGCTTCCAAGTTACCTTGTGATCAAACATAAATTATATAGTGGTAGATTGGTAATGTCAAAACGGTAAGATTGAGATAACATATTAAACCACTTATCCAATTTAAAACAATGCATGTAGAGATACTACTGCTACTGAGTATCACCTCCCACCCGCCCCCAGTAAAGGGAGGAATCAATGCTCGCCTCCCAACGTGAATGCTGGTTACTGAGCAAGTTCATTTCGGGATTAATACTTTGTATAGTCAGTCACACAAGCAAGAAAAACGTTAGGACACTGTGAGATTCACTCTCTCTATTAACTATACAAAACTATGATAAGCTCTGCAACCTGAGTTAACTAAAATATCCCTCATTCCAAAAGATGTATTCTAAGCAAACGTACATAATGGTTTATGAATTAAGTCTTGTCCTCTGTATCCAAAAGGATGAGCAAGTAAACACTTCCATCACTATTTTAACGTGGAAATACTCAGGCACTTGACAAAGCTGACTACCAACAGCAAGGAAAGTGTAAGATAAGAAATATAGTTCAAATCAAATCATCCAAATAAAAACCATATTCTCTCAATTCAAGGTTAGTGAGACCGGGGGAGGGGGTATGGGAGGAGAAGAGAGAACTGCCTCATCCTTGACTGAAGACAGGTTTTTGCCTTTTTCCATTATCTCTGATTGTTTTATATCAGGAAGTCTAAGATTTCAAGATCCTGGTACTTCAAGGGTTGTTATTTTACGGGTGAGGTGAAGAAGGGGTGTAAAATAAAATCAATACTCACTGCTAACTTTCATGCTGCCAAAAGCTGAAGGCTGCTGCACTGGCTTGCAGCTCTCCGCAAAGGAGGTGGTTCTGGGTCGCCCTGACATGATCACTCTCTTTCCGAATCACCTTCTTTTCCTTCCTTCCTCCTCTTCTTCCTTTTGTTTTATGCCGGGGTGTTAGGTTAATGATAAATGCAGCATTAAGTTCTCCCACAAGAAAAAGAAAATGACAGTCTTCTTGGCTTTTCACTCCTTTTGTATAGCTATAAAAAAACGAGCGATGTATCTCTCCTTCAAGACAGATCAGTATGGATATTTAACATGTAGATGATTTGGGGCTGGGGAAAAAAAATACAATTCTTTCCCCTCCCTTTCCTTGGAGGGGAAAAAAGGGAGGCGGAAGAAATCCTAAAAATATATATGTATATATATATATCACGCGAAACGGGGGCAAATACTTGATTCAAAATAAGTACTTTGAATATTATCTTTTCCTCGGGGATTTTTTTTCCGAGTCAATGAAGAAGGGAAGCGGCGGAAGGATCACGAGTCTCACGCTTGAAAAGAAGGGGGATGGGAAGGAAGGAGGGAGAGGGAGGGGGTGGCTCCGAGATGCGACGGGAAACGCTGCGGCTCCGGCAGCGGCGGGATCCGGCTGGATGACTGCGGGGGCCCGGCGAACTGGAGGGCGGCAGAGTCGCGAGTCAGTCAGAGGCGGGTGGTGGCGGTGGCTCCTCTCCTCATTGCGCCAGGAGCAGCTGCAGGCGGCGGCTGGATCCAGCGGCCATGGCGGCGGTGGTGGTGGCAGAGGCAGCTCCCTTCAGACCCCAAGCAGCGGCTCCTCGACTGCTCCCCATACGCCGGGGACATGGGAACCCAGCAACCGCTTCCGTCCCTCGGGGCCCCCTCCCCCGTCCACCGCACCAGCGCGGCCGCCCTCCCGCCCCTCGCCTCTGCTCGGTGCCTGCTCAGGAAGTGTCCGCGCTTTGCCACCAGCCCGGAGCCCTGTCAGCGGCTGTGGGGCCGGCTCCTCCTTGCTTCCTTCCTTCCTTCCTTTGTCACTCGGCCCGGACGGCGGCGACGGCGGCGGCGGCGGCACAAGCCCGCATTCGCCCGGGTCAGAGGCTGCTCTGTGTGAGGAGCGCCGTCTGCGCAGCCGCTTAGCTCTTCCCCATTCCCCCTCCCCCCTCCTACTCGTCCTCCGCCTCCTTCCTCCCCCACCCAGCCTTACACCGCCCAGCGCCCCGCCGCCCGCGTAACAGGCGTCTGGGAATCGCCGACCGAGCCTCGCGCTCGCCTGCTTCGGCTGGAGAGCCGAAGCCCGGCGGAGCCAATCACGGACGTCGTCTGTTTGCAGCTCCTCTCGGAAAAAGCCGAGGGACCTGAGGCACCAATTAGAATGTGTCGCTGGAAATCCACGCCCGAAGAACGAAAAATGCCGAGGACACCCGAATCAAAGGAAGGTGGGTTCGCCGTGTTCTTTGGCTGGCTAGAGGAGAAATTCGACAATGGCAATAGTGGCCAATCAGAGTCGCCGGCCCTCATGAAAACGCTTGAACAGTTGACGGCGAAACCCAGACTCGCTGGTGAAACAGCACGCCTGGGCTCCGTGTCCGCTTTGCAATTGGCCCAAAACTCCGCTGGGAGTGTACCTCCCTCGGTGATTGGTGAGCGGAAGGGGGCTTCCGAGGACATCTGGCCAGTCAGAATGTCTCCTCCCTCGCCGAGGTGGGGAGAAGAAGAAAGCAAAGGGAGGGCTTCTATAAAGCGCCTTCTCATTGGCCTGAAGCTTTGGAGCTGGAGTTAGGGTAAAAGGGGAAGGGAGGGAGGCCGAAAGCCTTAGCGGTAGCCAATCGGCACTGACTGCCGTCCAATCGCAAGACCTAGCTGCAGTGTGATTGGCCTTCGGCCTCCGGCGGCGGTCCCAGGAGCCGGGAGAAGCTCGCCTGGGGTCGTGGCGGCTGCTCCCAGACCATGTGGAAACCGCAAAGAGGGAACGCGGGCTCTCCACACAGCCGGTCCGAAACTGCTGCGGTTGGCGGGGCTGGGCTCGGAGCGCTCAGGCGAGCAGAAGGTGTAGGGGCTCTCCCCACCCACTAGAGGCTCTAAGCGGGACGCGGCTAATCCTGCGCGCCCGAGACTCCCCTCTGTCCGGCGTAGTGCGTCCCGAGTACCAGCGTCTTCCTAGCCAGGGCCAGACGGATCCAGGGTGCCTCCCCTGCTGTCTGCGAATTCTCAGACAAAGCTTTCAGAGAGGCAGCGCCCCTGGGCTGCTGCGCCCCGCCCAGCCGCGGGGACCATTGATTAGAGTGAGGCCGACTGCGCCGGGTGCGCGCGCCTGGCCGGCCTTCTGGAAACGCCCCTGAGAAATGAGCTCATGCTGGATGCGCGCGCTCCTTGGGCGCGTCTGCCCAGCGTAAAACGGGCCCCGAAATCAGGTGAGGGGAAATGCCGTCAGGCCGGATATCCTGAGGATTCCGAGGAAATGGGGAGTCAGAATAGCCCTTAGTAGCTTTTGGTCCTTTGGAACTAGGTTGATCTATAAAAGTATTATTTAAGTAGATTTCACATAGAGGCTGGTGTTCGTTCTACAGAAAACCAATTCCTTCGGTTTGCTTGAGGACTGAAGCATAGCTGCGTCAGGATAGCAGAAAAAGTGGAATGGACACTTGCCATCCTGATTCTAATCCCGTGGTTCTTGTAATTTCCATCTGCCTAGTCACTTGTTAAATACTATCTCCAGAGAGCCCCTGTAAAAATACCTATAAACTGATCAGATTACCTAGCTATTGCTTTGGAAAACTGAAGAGGGACTTAAGGCAGACGAAGTGAGCTTTGATGAGTGGCAGGAAAGATCTAGATAGGGTATGCAGACAAATGTCTACAGGGTCCAGAAAAGTAAAGCAAATGAGTGAAAACGGCCTGGTGAAAGACAATGAGGAATGATAAGGAGTGTGGCAAATTGGAGTCTCCATGCTGTAACTGAAGGGAACAGCTGTTCAGATCTAGCAGATTGTTGCCCTCAGGAATGTGGGTCCAGTGTTCTGAGATGCTCTATGTTTGTTTTTTTTTTCTCCCAAGAGGAACCCTAAAGCTGGATATTTGTGTGAAATCTCTTGATTTTCAAATGTTAGCAACTAGTATTTCAAAACCCTGACGGCCAAACTAAAAACATCCTGGGGTAAATGTGGCCAACATGCAATCAATTTATAATCTCAACCCCAAGCATGGGTTTTATAGCACAACAGCAGCAGAGGCACTTGTTCTTTGCAATTAAGAGAGACCATGAGGTCTCTGGATGTCATGGAGGAAAGCAGAGAATGTTAAAAAGCAAATTCAGTGCATGGCAACTTTGTCAATGAATGTTGCCTGTCCATGCAAACATTCTGAAAGACCTGTGTCACTAGGCCCTAATGCTGTGAGGCCAAACTTTAAATCCTGCCTTCCTCTTTACTCTCTATTCCTACTCCCAATTATACCAGCAGAGAAGTGAATAACAAATATTTAGGTTATACAAATTGGAAACATGGTTACTCTTTAGTATAAAGTAAAATGCAAAAATAGTCCACCTTAAGGCAACGATCAGTAGCTTTGCTTGTTGTTGGCTTCAAATAGTTTGAACTGATGCTGTTAAAAAAATATATGCCCAAGACAGGGAAATTTTATAGGAAAAGAAAATGTATTTCAGTCTAGAGTTAGAATTTAAGGAGAGAGAAGTTTTATGAGAAAATACTAATGAAATTACCATTCAGTGTTTGAACTTTCAAACTCTTACTTTACCTTCCCACCTGCTGTTACCACTTATCAGTTTATAATAATTTTAATAGTTAATATTTACTGAGTGTTTACAATGTGCCAGACACTGTTCTTAAGTTCTTCACACATGCTATCTCAAGTTTATAATAATCTTATGTCATAAGTACTGTCATCATCGCCACTTTTCAGATGAAGACACTAAGGGCCAGGAAGGATTACTAACTTACAAGGTCCACAGAGCTAACGTAGAACCAGGAGTCAGATTCTTTTATTTATTTATTTAATTTTTTTTTTTTTTTTTTTAGGCGAGGCAACACTTTGTTGACCTCACAGACTGCAAGGACCTTGTCAGCTTACAATCTCTTATTTTTTACGCCTACAGCACCTGGTCTGTATCCCATCCAAGTACTAACTGGGCCTGACCCTGCTTAGCTTCCAAGATCAGACGGGATCGGGCTTGTTCAGGGTAGCATGGCCATAGACAGGATTCAGATTCTTAAGCTCTACTCCCTACTTCTCTCAAAAACACAGTCCTCACCTCTCCTGGTGTATCTTGTTTTATCTTAGAGTTTAAGCCTATGTCTTGAACTGCATGTGCCTGATTGTGAACATATCTCCTAGTTTGATTTATAACACTTCAGTTTTCTCCAGGGCTCATTAGATGGTCCCTTGCAGAAATCAGTGATTCTGAGCCACAGTAACAATAAACCAAAGCATTAGAAAAATATAAATGTAGGAAAGCTGGGTTGATGAGCATGTCCACAAGATAATAGGTGTAAATTAAAAATGCACAATGAACCAGCTTATGTAGTAATAACAAGTAAAGGCATACTTCAGAGATATTGCAGGCTGCGTTCCAGACCATCACAGTAAAGCAAATTGTGATCTTTTTGCTAGTGGAGGGTCTTGCTTTCAATTTGTAAAAATCTCAACATCTGTGAAAGTGCAATAAAGCAAAGTACAATAAAATGAAGTATGCCTGTATTTGTATAGCACTTTGCACCTAGAAAGTACTATATGTTTATAAAGTTTAGGAAGTACTATTAAACTATTAGTTTTTACAAATGAGGAAACTTATGCACTTGAATAAGCAACTTGCTCAAAATCACTTAGCTGCATTTTTAGTTGAAACTAGAAGAAAATATAAGCAGGTTTAATAAGGAAGATAGCAAAGAGAATATGACAGGCAGTTTATTTAGATGAACCTAGGGTCAACCATTTCAAACAGAAGTCCATGAACAAACTCTTTCTAGGACCTCATTTACGTAGCCAATATATATTTAAACACCTGAATGTTGTTGGATGCTAGTCTTCAAAATTTAATGAGGTATGGTCTCTGCTCCAAGTACTTGCAGTTAGATACAATGAGGTAGGAAAGAGTTGTTTAGTAAAGAACCATAGGAAAGCTCTCCAATACCAAGGTCAAAGTGAAGATTAAGAAATAGGAAAAATAAATTTGTTCAATGCCTGTTCAGTCCATCCCAAAACCCCAAGAAAGAGGCATTATTAGCTTTTTTTTTTTTTTTTTAATAGATGGAGGAAGGAATGAGCAACAAGTACATTGCTCAAGGTCATGTAATTAGTAAATGGCAAAGCTGTGATAGGATGTATACCTGAGTCTTTGAATTCAGCCTCTTTCTACTAGATCACTCTGCCCTTCATCAAAAGGTATCATTGTTTATCCTATTAAAAGGTATCATTGTTTATCCTATTTATATAAATTATGTATGTGTGTGCTTCTACACATGCATACCTAGGTGTCTGGAAATACTAATTTTGATGGCATTTTGAATGATCTTTATTGTCTTCATGCATTGTCTTTATTTTCCATCTTTACATAAGAAACAACACTCAGGAAAAACAAGACTTCAGAAGAACAAAAGAGAAGAAGCAGCAGTGTAAAATTGCTCAATTTGATGAGGACTTAACATAACTGAAATTTACAGAGGTACCCTTTGTAGCTGGGCAGGCACTTTCAGAGGCATTCAAGAAGGCAATTTCAGGGCTGAGCAGAAGAAAGAACCAGAAAGATAGGGCATCTTTAAAAGCTCTGAAGCAACAGCAGAAATTTCCCCCTTCCTAGGTAGGCTTTGATGCCAAAAAGAGATTGGCTGTTAACACATGCAGTATACCATTTAAAGGGGTCAATTTATGTTAAAGTAAGAGAGATGAAGGGACTCATTGACTGCTAGAAATCATCAGCAGGAGCTTAATTTGGCAATAGTATCAAGAGCCATTTAAAAAATTGTGCCCTTTGATCAATAATAAAAAACTCACCCAGGCACTCTGCTAGGTGTTTGGGACACGTAACTCCATTATATGGTAGGTACAATTTTTCTCTATTTTACTGATGACTAAACTAAGGAACAAGAGAAGTAAGTTGCTCACATTTACACAGCTAGAATGTGGTTTTCAAACCTGTAGCTTAACTCTTGTCCCCTAACTCTGAGAATTTCTCCTTAGAAAATCATCCAAAAGAAGTAATCCAAAAGAAACTTTACTCAAATCCATTTAGTGAGCATTTATTCAGCTCCTGGTCTCTTTGTAGGACACTATGCCAGGCCATAGGGATACAGAAGTGCAAAAATAAAGACATTTAGAGATGACTAGTCTTGCTCCAGTCTTGGAGGAGTTCTCATAGAATAGAGACATGTAAAAAGATAACACTATGTTGTCATCTGGGCAGCTGTGTACTAGCCCAGAGGAAGAGAAGTGTCCCAGAGATCATTTTCTGGGTTATATTTGAACTACTGGTCTGCAGGTTGAGTGTATATATCCAGAGGTTGTCCAGGATAATCTTCTGGAGTGCTAGAAATATTAGAACTTATTTTTATCTTAAAAAGTAAGAAATTTCCTTTTTAGTGGTTAATTTACTGGTAGGCACTGGTTCCTTTTCTTACTCTCTACGTCAAAGGAAGTGGTCTCACATGGTCCACAATACAGTTATCCTAAAGGAAGAGGATGAATTTCTACAGCCTAGAGGGTGAGTGAATACAAGGTACCCTCCTGGTACTTTACTTATGCTTAATTAAGTGGATTTCCAGCCATAATATTTGATTTTTAACTAAATTGATCCTCATGAGTTGAAAATGATTTCTGCAAATAAAGTGTAGATTACAGATTTTACTAACTGCAAGAGTAAGTAAACAAAATGGCAAGACTGACATTCTCCTACTCGTGGTAAGAACTCTTCATCAGTCTCATCTCTAGGTAAAAATAATGAGCTAATCAAATTTGACAAGAAGTGAGCTTGAAAATTTTGGAATTCTCAAGAAGAATTTTTGAAATATGAAGTTACCATCCACTATCATTAAAGTCAAAGCTTGCCCTAAATTTAAGTAAGATTGAGATGTAGCTAACGCCAGTGTGAGGTCTTCACAATTGCTAAAACATTTAAAGAATATGTATACATCTGTGACAGTATTAATAATTGGAGGAAAAGGGTTGAGGGGCAAGAACAAAAAAGTTTGGGGCCTTAAATAATAAAAAAATGATTTAAAAAGTATTACTATGCCTCTCATTTATTTTTATTCCTGTGTATGTCTCATATGTGCATATCATATTTAAGAGTATATGTTTTACAAATGATTGGTTCAATAGTATAAGTTTTATCAATAAATATGAAGAGTATATTGGAGCTGGATATTAAAAGTATTTTTACTAGTAGAGTATTAGGGAAAATTTCATAGACCACTATTTTAAATAAAGAATGGTTTTCCAGATCAGTGAAGGGAAGAACATTGCTGACAAAGAAAAGAAGTTATACAATGGCAGAAATGTATGTAACAAGGTATTCAAAGAGCTGGAGCTGGTTTGAAATTATGTAGCATATGAGATCTGGACCTAGAGAAAATAAAGGAAAACGGTATTGGATAACAGAGGTATAGTTAAGTAAATTATATTAAGTCTCTATTATTCAGCCAGTAAAAATAAATACAAAGACCAATAATAACTCAGGAACAATGCTAACTGAAAATATAGAACTTCAGATTGCTTATTATATTTGCATATCTATAAAATATATGTACATTTGTATCAAGATTGAAAAGGAAGATAGAAATTAGAATAATTTTGTTAATATATTGGTATATTTAATTATAGATTAAAACGTTTACTTTAAATGTTCTTAATATTTCTACAATAAATTTCTCTGTTTGGTTTTAAGGAAATTGACCCCCAACATAGCTCATTTTTTTACTGTGGTTCACACATTCGTCAGAAAGCATCTGATTACATGAAATTCTTAACAAAATTTCTGTGCAAAGCTTTCCAACTAATATTTTTGCTGATAATCCTTTGTAACATGAGTTAAATAAAATTAGCCAATATTTATTGAGTATATACTATGTATAAGACACCTACTATCTGATATAAAGAAGTACATGAACCACATGGCTCTGTACCCTTGGAGAGCTTATCCTTTGAGGAAATAACCATATGAAAGGTTAAATAGTTATTAAAAATCACATTTTGAGTCCATAAAAAAAGTTGTAAGGCAGAACATATTTACTAATATTATATTAATGTTTGAGTGAATTGTTCATGCTGTCCTATTTATAATAGGTGGGTAAAGGACTTTAAAGTGGATCCTAAAGGATAAGTAGTAGGATTTGGACATGAAGAAAGGAGAAAGGAAGTAAATTATTTTCCACCACTTCATTTCTAACTCAAAAGACAAACCCTCCTACCCTCCATGCCCAGTTCATAACTCATAGGTGGGTGGAGCTGTCAGAGCAATTAAGAACTGTATGAGTCTGTTCATCTAACTTCAAAAACCCTTTGGCTAGAACAGAAGCTAATAGAGGAGACTAATGGGAGATAAGGTTTAAAAGGTAGTTTGGGGCTAGATTTGACAGCTTTGAATGTTCCATAAAAACATCTGGATTTTGTCTCAGACAATGGAGAATTATGGGAAGTATTTTGGCAGATGTAAGACATCGTCACTTAGGAAAGTGTGGAGGAGTAACAAACTTTACTCTCAAGGTTCTTCTGGCTGGTCTAATAATCAGACATGGGACAGATTAGCAAGAGAAAAATAACCAAATTTAATACATACATATGTATGGGAACCCGGCATGAATATATATGTGTGTGTGAGAGAGAGAGAGAGAAAGTGAGCGTGAGAGTGCCCACATGCTGGAGAGGTTCAGAGAGAGATTGTGGTATATGAGACATCCTGAGCTAGGGGTGAGGTAATGCTTCAAAGGGTCATTGCAGAATGATAAGAAGAGCAGATATTTACTAAATAAAAGTTTGCCCTGCCACATAGGTGGGTCAGAAAGGTTATCACTGATAATCTCTTATTATGAGCAAGGTCCCTAATGCAAGTTCCTCTCAGTAGTAAAAGGAAGGGGCAGAAGTTTTCTCTTGAGCCTGAAGCTCAAATTGCCTTTAGCTCAAAACAATCCACATACACAGAAGCACATCTTGGGGTGTGCTTGCACCCTCACAAAAGCCTCCGAGGTAATATACACTGTGTGTTTTTTCCTGTTGCTAAAAATGTGCCCCGAGTAACAAGACACAGCATACTTGGTCATGCTTTTTATAATCAATGAGGTGTGGCAAAATGAGAAAGTAATGGATGACTACCCAAAAAGAAGAGGGACAGTGTCTGAAACATTGCCACTATAAAGTGGACTCTGGCGATATTTAGAGTTTCACATCAAACCTTTGACAGATCATATAATTACTCTAATTTTAACATCTAAAGGAGTGTGTGCTATCTAAGATAAAAGGAAGACAATCCCTTGATAAATCCTTTTAGTTTTTTATGCTTACCACATTATCGCTAGCTCAGGGTATAATCATGAGGTTAGTATATTATTACTGATTAGATTATTTCAAACTGTTTCCATTTCACTTCTTGTACTCTGTTTTTATTCGCATTTTTTTAAAAGAACTTTTTTAGTCAAAGGTGTAAATATTTTCACATTGAATTGAATAAATGAATTCACAACAATACATATGTGTTGATTGAACTTTGACTTAAACATATTTCTTTACAACAAATTCAAGGTCATTTAGCCTTGTCTTATGTGCATTAAAATGTAATAAATATAGGCTGAGAAAGTCTCAGGACAAATAGTTTAGGAACTCATTAGCCAGCAGTAAATCAGAAATAGTCGTTTTATTCTTCACATGGTAGTAGGACTCACATCTCTCAGAAGAAAACAAAAGTCTTTGGTTCTTTATACTATAACGAGTTGATGGTGACTGTGAATATGAAAGAAAACAGGCATTCTGTTTCTTAGCTATTAAATATCTTGACTGGGGGGAGTATAAAAACTTGAAAAAAAAAAATTAAGATATCCCATGGATTATCCGACAAGGTATTCCAGAATGCAGAGAGAGTCTGTATCCCTTAAGGCAGACCACAGTTTCATCTGAATTCTGGCCATCAAGGTGCATCATTGGTCTGACTTCATTCCTATGTCCTGTAGGATGGAACTCTGAAAGGGAATGGAAGAGAATGCACAAAGCCCCAGGAATGTGTGTTCTTGTGTAACGTCCAGATCAGACAGTAGTAGGAAGTGCCAGATAATAGACCAGAAAGGATTCTGTGGCAGAGGGTTTATAGCTCAGTTTTTTAAAACCATTAATATTTTACCACATCCGTTCATTATTTTTATAATTTATATTGTATATGCATCAGTAGTGTTCAGTATTTGAAGATAAAAATAATTTAGGAAACCACTATTTCTGTAAATAACTTACTATTTTAGGAGAACTCAAGAGTTTCAGGAAAATACTAACTTGGATTTTTTTTTTTGAGTTGGCTCTATGTGCTCTTCTACTAACTCTAACCATTTCAGTTACAATCCAGTTTTCACATTTAGTCTTCTTATCAAGAGTGGTTCAATTCTATTTTTTATTTTAAATCAGTAAACATGTTGGCTGATTCTTTAAATTTCGTAAGTTTTGCTGGTATATGTTGGAAAACACATGAAAACACACAATACTGAATATCCTGATTCTATGAAGTGCTTATTTTGTATCTACTATGTGCCCAGAACTGTGCCAAATATAATGAGAAACACATTTGCATATAGCAAATTGAGAAAACTGCTGTGTATGTTTTACGACCTGACTATGGTCTGTTCAACTGCAATTTTAAATATTTTCAAGGTCAAAGGGGTATGAGCTCTCTTAGAATTAAAAACAAATCTCTTACAGAGTCAAGTCAGCTGGAACTCTAAGTAAGTAAACTATTCTATGGAAGTTAAGCTTTTAATCTAGCATGAAAGGAGTTAAAGTTAAGTACTTCTAAGCACCAGAGAAACCATCCAATGGGAAAAAAAATCAACAGGCATCGCTAAAAGAGGACATACACATGGTTTGCCTTTATATGTAACTTTCTTCCTGCTTAAATGGAATTTCATGTAGATGTGAAGTGTTTCTCTTGATTTCAATTGATGCCAGACACATAGTAGGAACTCAGTAAATATTAGCAAAATGAGCAGTATAATTTGTAGTTGAAAAGTAAAACCTGATTATAACCATTAAAATTGCAATTTTATAAAATATTTGCATATGGACAAGGACTCAGAAGAAATAGCCAAAAAAAAAAAAAAAAAAAAAACAGTTGTTTGTTTTATTTAATTGTTAGTTTTCTGAAATTTTTTTAGATTTAAAAATTTTCCATCATCGTTGCTGCAATATAATTTGAGTATCATTTTTTTTAATTAGATGCATTCAAATATAACATAATCATAGCTTGGGAAAGAGCTCTGTCTACCTCTGGAGTTCAAACATGTCTTGGCATATCTGGCAAATTGATGGGTTTAGGCTGTTAAGAGGTGGTTTGCATAAAGGTTTTGACAGAAAGACTTAAAAAATGTGGGTACCGTTGAAGAGGGGGTTTGGCCAGGCTACTTTTCAGTCAATTTGCATTGTTACAACACACTAGCCAGTGTTCTATTGGTCAGTGCCCATACCATGCCAGGTATTAACCTATTTCAGATGTCACTCTTGGATTGAGGGGACCTTGCCTAACCCACTCTAATGCAACTTCATAAATTCCTCTTGGAAAGCACTATAAGCAGAAGTAGGAGTGCACTAAAATCTTTATTATATAATCACAAAATATAATCCACAGGTTAGTGATTGGAGACTTGTTTCCACTTTTGCAGGAAACACGACACAATTTTGCTGTATTAGAGATTCCAGAAAACACAGAAGCATTTTGATTTCCTTGAAGGCCACAATGGAGATCATGAAAATTTCCAATAGAAGGTGGTGGTGACCTGACTTAATGGGGCTGGCTCAATGATAAGTACCAGAAGTGTTCGAAGACAACAGAAACCTCAGCAGCAGACATCCATGTGACTACAGGTAAGACTTGTTCTTGATCCCATATAAAACACTGTCTAAGAGCTCTTAGACATTAGGGTTGGGGGATTTTGCGAGGAGCTGAGGGTCCTGCATCAGCAGACAAAGGAGCCACAGAAATATGAATTAAAAAGCCATTAGTAATAAATTTATAATTATGGTTTTTAGTTTGTAAAGAATGAGATGTGAGAAGTGAATCTACTGTTTCCTTGTTCAGTGGTCCTAATTTCCACATCCTTCTTATTTCTGTGAGCATTTCATACAACTGAGGGTACCAATAGTTTTGTAAAGTACAGGGTATTTTTTTTATAACATGACCTATAAATTCAGGTTAAACACAATTCTTCATCTGTTGTTCGACCAAAGAAACAGTGATATGTTCCAATACTGGGAGAAAAACTAGCTGAATTGAATTTATTGCTATTTAAGGTCCTTTGAAGGGTAATTTTGGATGTATGTGATTTACACCTAAAATGCTGTTTTTAAGACCTAAACCTTGTCAAAGAGGCAACTCCAGGATTTTACCTTTTATACATTACAGTATTAGATGTGTCCTGAAACATATAACGTAGACCAGACAGGTAATATTACTCCCATTTTACATATTTTTAAATGGAGGCAAAAAGAATTGTAATTAGCTTTTTGAGCTCAATTGTACCACATTGATCAATAAATGTTCTTTGAGCAGTACAGGTATATTACATTCCACTATGTTCTTGGAATCATATTTTTAAAAATGTATGAAGGTATGCTCTCAGCAGGTAAGAGAAATCTCATAAAATGAGAGTAATTTATAATGTGACATCCTTTTTCAAAAAATTTTCCTGGGCCTTCTTTTTCTCATTGGCCTATTTATTCCCTTTATATGCTGTAATGATTAGTGTTTAATAATTGTATAAAAATAAATAGATGCCTTGGAAAACAATGCTTTCAAAGTACAGAACAATGTTCATGGCATCTGATACATGAATCAGAGTTTTGTTTTGTTTTAAAAAGAAAAGATGTACATATAGTCTCACCAGATTCGAAGTATGGTTACAATTGGAATTTAATTGGTAAACAAACACCGAATATCTGTTATGTGCGAAGTGTTGTTCTTAATGAGAGTTAATCAAAAAAGAATACAAGATACGATCACTCTCCTTTAATAATTTTTAATCTGGCTAGGAAGGGATAAGATGTGGACAAGGTATATTGTCCTCAACAAGTATTTGTTTAATGAATGAATGGATGAATGACTATAAAAGATCATTGTTGGTCCAAAGTAGCATATGATATACAAATTACATATATATATTATATATATATGTATGTATATATATATTACATATATATACATATTCATTCAGGGGATAGCTAAACTTGAGAATGGAACAATCTACTGGTCATACCCCTCTTGCACATCCACTCCAAAGTAATGTCCCCACGAGAAAGGAATTTCATTGCAAAAATTTTTTAAAGGTGAAGGTCCGGGACAGCATACTGGGAAGATCATAATTACAGTTACTCTAGGTAACTATAGGTCTATTTAGTTAATAAATTTCAGTGGGATATTTGCCACACCCAGAAAGCACTAGGAGGTGCAAGGCCACTGCCCAGAAGAAAATCTGGAGCTGTATCAAATGAACAAGGATTATCCACATAAGATTGATCACAGACTCTATAAGGATGAATGAAGCATCTGAGAAACAGTGGAATTACAGAACAGAGAGTTGAGATGTTGATTTTCACTTTTAAAGATTGTGAAGAAGATGTGGAAAAGTAGAAAGAACAGTTCAAGAGGGTAAGCGGTAAACCATTATATTGATTTTATTAAAAAGACTACAAAATGATATTATATTTAGCATTAGGAAATCATTAGAGTCTTCTATAAACTATGTAAACTCAGAATTATGAAGGTGAGTTCGGAGTGCAGAGCAATTTTGAATAGATAAAAGAATAATTAAGTTTAGGTAATTAAGAATTAGAGGTAGTGAAGAGTATATTAAATATACTAAGAAGATATGGGGATAATAATGTTTTCTGGAGAGGCAAAACAGAAATTGTCCTGACCCCAATAGTGTCTTGAGGTCAGTATAATGAACATTCCAGAAGCCAAGAGTTAGCATAGAAACAGGTATTCTTCTATATAAGTTAATTCTTCTATCTAATCTTAAATTCATAGAATTTACATTACTTGCTAAAACAATGGCAAATCAAGCCATAGTTTGGAATATTCCTCATAGAAAAAGTACAGATTAACTTGAGATAAGCCATATGGATATGTATATGTGCAGGGATATTAGTTATCTATAGTATTTTGGCAAAGACACCCTAAAATTTATCTCCACGGTGAATGAGTCAAATGTTGCAAATTTTAGGGACTGGTTGAAACTTCATAAGAAATCTAATAGATTTTCTTTTCCTTTGGAGATTGGCTGAGAACCCAATGAATGTGGGGACAAACTTCAGTGCTTTTGCCAGATGCTCATTTAGAAGGCTGGTCCCTTGCCTTGAACTTTAATGTTGAGGTCATAACTTATTGGCATCCAACTGACAACTTATGATAGAGAGAGGCCTCATGATGCTCCCTAAAGAAACAACTTGTTCCCTGCCAAAATTAGGATTACCTTGCTTTAGGAAGAGGATGCATACTATGCTGAGAGCCAAATGACAATTTACCAAACATATCAAACTCCATCATGGACAGCAAAGGAGCCCCATATAATCCAGAAGAGAGAGGGTATTAGGGATGGCCTTCTAGACAGTTGATGCCCTAAAGACCTGCTGAAGGCTATGTCAAAGGCCAAATAATAGTAACCAGGCATTGTGCCAACTTAATGACCTGGCAAATCAGAAACCACCTTTGGTAAAAGTGATTCTTTGAGTGAGGGTTTTAATCCCGAAGTGTTAAAGCCTAGGACAGGCATAGCAAACATGAGCACAATTTATTTCATTTCTGTACCCATGGCAGACACAGATAAGCAATAACTCAGACTCAGGGTCCCTCTCAGTCAACAGAGTTTTGAGTAGCCACTACATATCAATGGAAATTGTCAGGTCATTTAAAACCTATTTCCTTGCCGGTAGCTTACTCCTATGTGACAGATGCCTAGTCTACCTTCAGATGAGCGGCTAATGGTCCTAAAAAGCACTTGGCTGTGGGAGGGGCTCTCAACTCCCAAGAGGCTGGGGATCATAGTAACTGAGTCAATGTATACTCATGAAGATGTCCAGAAAGTCAGAGATCCACTTGCCGTTCAGCTGACTCCCAGAGGCGGACTGCCCTGCTTCATTACTCATGACCCACTGCCCAAGAGTAGCTTCTCTGAGCAGCCATCAGCTGAGTAAATCTTACCATAATGAAATGCTAGTGCGGCCAGGTGGCCTAAAAAGTGTCTGTGGTCAGTTGCTTCTTGGCCTTAGTTTAGGACTATTTCTGTTGTTGGAAAATAGTTGGTGTTTGAGGAGATAAAATGAGGCATCACCTGTAAAAATTGTTTGAAAACTTTAAAGACCTGTAGTCATGTAGGGGATATGAAAGAAGATGATTATTGGGAAATAACAAAAAGTTAAGCCTTGAATCTTTCCTTAGGCTTACAATTTCTTATTTAATTAGCTTTATTCAATATGACAGAAGGAGAATCTTTTTCCTTCTGGGAGGCAAAAATAATGAGATATTTGCTTTGACTTCGCTATTATTGTATATGTGTGACATCCCTAAATCCACTCCAGTGCATCCTACACGTTTGTCATATTGATCTAACTCTCATACCACTGTCATCACTTCACACATCTGCTCAGGAACCAAAACTGATTCCTTTGTCTAAATCTAAACTCTTCAGTCTTTCATTCAGAATTCTCCTTCAATTACCCATGCTTGACACTCACCCACCAGCCTCCATCACCTTTGCAATCTCACCTTTCTTCTTGCTTCACATTGTAAAAGCAGGTAATGTTGAAGATGGCAGTCATCAAAAACATGGTGCTCATCCAATCCTTGCATTTGTTGAGGAGACTAAAGCTCAGAGAGATGAGGTGATATTACCAAGGCCACACACAGTCCTTCCACTGTGGCCAAGACAACATGCTTTCCATACTCCATACGACTTGTTCTTCTGGTCCTAAGCTGGGAAAAGGTGAGCAGAACTGATACCCAGGGGAAATTGTGGCATGGGGTAAATGATGTATGAAGCAATATTGAGAATTAAAAACTCAAAACTCAATGTGCTTGCAATGTGCTGTGTTTGAAATCAATAACTTTTATGTAGAATTTGTCACCCTCTTAATAGAGAATTCACTAAAGCTGGGAATTAATCTGAAAACTTTTGTTCTACTGGCTTTGGAAGGGATTTTTGTGACAATTGTCTTTTATGTAAATAGAGTGAATGGTTCAAGGCTACAAATGATTATAGGTATGTCAAAGTTTCCCTGGGGAATGGCCCATCGAGTTACTAGTGTTGGCCAAGCTTTTCCTCTGAATTGAAGCTAACAAGGTCATTCCAAGGAGAACTGCTTTGGGGAACCTGAGGACAATGACCCTGTTACAAATTGCCCAACTAGAAGCTAGGAAACCACTTCTTCTTTAGAAGGTTTATGTGGTAGAAAATGAGAGGTGGTTAGTGATTTAAACCTTACCGGCAGGAAGAGGGGAAAAAAATGAAGGAAAAACCTTGGTTACAAGAATACTGTAAAAGAAAATTAAAGGAAGTTTTGTAAACGTTCAAATACATAATGTAATTCAAAATGAGGCTAATCAACTTGCCACATCTACTTTGATGAGTAGATAAGAATACTTATAATTTTTATATTAGTATTTGGAGATAAATTACTCCTTATAAAGTATTTGAGGGTGTTTTAATGTTTTCTTTAGTATTTAAATCGTCACCATTAAACTTAAAAAAAATCTCTCATCATTTTTATGCATACTTATTCAGGTTATTTAAAATTCCAAACAAATTGAGCCTGAATAAATGAAGTTTTAATATGTCTATAAGTAAATGCATTAGTCTAGGTGTCCAGGT